TGACGAAAGGGGGGGGGGAGGGTCAAAAATCGTCCAAAATCGCGTGACGTCATTTATGGACGGCCCCTTTCCCCCCCGCGCGCACCCTCCGAGGAGCACGGTTGGCTACGTACGGCGCGAAAGAAGTTCACGGTTTCCATCATCTGGACATTGTCTAACGCAAATGATTCTCGTATTTCGCGTTCTCAGCGCACAGTCGTAATCAATGATCGTGCCTGGGTGTGTATTTAACAACAGTACACACACGCACGCGGATAGAAAATAACACCCGAACCGTAGAGCGTATAGGCTGTTAGTCATTTTAAAGTTCAATGTCACTGTGACTCATGGAGTGTCGTGTAATATTGTCCCAACAAGCACGGCGGAGCGAGGTAAATTGGCAGCCCAAAGCAAACACGGGCCATTGAATTCAAAGCCTCTTTCTGTGCCCATACCCCACTGTAAGTTGGTATGAGACCTCGCAAAGAAGCGATCCCATTGCAAGAAATGTCAGCCGTGATGGAAGGCAGGTAGTGTCGTGAATAATGTACAACCCCCGTGTTAAATCCACTGCTGGATGATGAAGCTCTCCCTCCCCACCCACCCCATGGTGTGTCAGTGATTTGGGTTGTTATTTTGACCATACTTCACCGCGCTGGTCAGTGAGGACGGGGATCGGAGGCGATGATCGGTTCAGATTTCGCTCAACCACCGCTGATTTTCGTCGTGGCCAGGCGGAATCGAACTCACGTGGTGGGGTTCAGAGAGATGTGTAATAACAGCTACTTTTACATCGATAGCTCTACCCCGGGAGAGCATGCACACGTTTGGCCACTGTTTGCATGTTCACTGCCTGGTGTTACAGGTGGGGGAAATATAAACATAAATGTGAGTCCGCTGATTTAAGGGGTGCAAAGGGTTTTCGTTGTAATCTGTGAGGTTGCAGTTAGCTGCATGTACAACGTTTGTATATCTCTAAAGTTCAAGGTTAATCGTCAGTGCTCCGCAACCTTCGAACAGTTTTGCAAGTACAAGCAAATAAAAAACGCAAATTTAAAATGGAAATGACCAAATATCCTCATGCAGGACCCTCTTGAAAACTCGTCTTGAGACTCGGTACTGTGACTTTCCTGGGTAAATAATTGGCATGTATTACTGTACATGAATACTGGTTGTCGTGACATCACGTTTGTCAAACGTCTGTAAAAAACAATTCATGCTCATTTGTAAAGTCTGGTCGTTTTGGTTACATCAGTGCAGTCATAATAAACGTTTTTGGGTTAGATCGCGTTATTTATAAATGTGTCGTAACCCTCCACCACCCGACACGGCCAATCAGCAAAAAAAGTGTCACGTTGACAAAAGACAAAATAGTTCACTACTTTAGCCCACCGGTGTGTTGAAGAGTGGAACCACAACATTTACGATTTTTGAGTACGAAGTTTCGCTGGTAATTGCATCCAGCATCATCGGGCAATTCGGCCGATGATTATAAATAACGCGATCTAAACCAAAAACGTGTATTATGAATAATATTGGTCGCGAAAGCCTACGTGTTAAACATCAGTGCAGTACAGTATTCTTTCGCAGGGACACCTGCGGTTTGCATTGATGTCAGACATTCCAGCCTGTTGTTTGATTAGTGACACGAAGGCAAATATAAACATAAGCATAGGAACGCGAGCTGTGATGGAGAAGACAAAAAAACCAACCCAAAATACTGATAACATGGCAGGGGAGTGGGAGGGCGGTGCACTATGAACCTGGCGAAACGAATTTGATTGCAGGCTCACATCAATGTTCTATTGTATGGTAGGGGAAAAAGCTTAGAATTGGGATGTCTAGTTTGGCGATCCATTCAATGGCTTCCCGAGTGGCAATGTTGGCGAGATGTTGTCTACCTCGCCTGGTATACAGGAGGTCGTGGGTTCGATCCCGAACCTGACACCTGCTGTATATTTGGAGTTTGCGTCTCTCTCTCTCTCTCATCATCACGGTGGCTAAGAGGTGTTAACTACCTCGCCTGGTATACAGGAGGTCGTGGGATCGATCCCGACCCTGACACCTGCTGTATATTTGGAGTTTGCGTCTCTCTCTCATCATCACGGTGGTTAGGAGGTGTTAACTACCTTGCCTGGTATACAGGAGGTCGTGGGTTCGATCCCGACCCTGACACCTGCTGTATATATGGAGTTTGCGTCTCTCTCTCTCTCTCATCATCACGGTGGCTAGGAGGTGTTAACTACCTTGCCTGGTATACAGGAGGTAGTGGGATCGATCCCGACCCTGACACCTGCTGTATATTTGGAGTTTGTACGTTCTCCTCGCAAGCCGTTTGTATTTTCCTTCCTGTCCTCCGGTTTTATCCATCCACATTGAGAAACGTACATTTCGTCACGGTAAGCCACTTCGTTGAACTATCATTTGTGGCAAGGTCGCTTCTACAAAAGAGCTGTATAGGTCCTTGGGCCTTATCGTGTAAAATATATATTTTTTGAGATGCTAAGTGAAGATATAAAGTGCCTCTGTCTCACAACAGATCCTAGTGGGCAGGTTGATGCGATATGTCCCATGGCTATCATCATCATCAGTGGTGAGTGAAATCTGAACCGGCCCTGTAGTTACTCCTTCAACCTGCCCTGACCGATGTGTGCAACTAAGGTCAAACAACCTCCCGTGGTCGACACGGCGTGGCGAGGCCATCATCCAGCAGTCGATGGAATAATAGTCGCACATAAGAAGTATTACTGCCAGTAATGAAGTACCGTACAGCCCGTTTGTTGTACGGTATGAATCATTACAGCATTACACATGCAAACTGATAAACTACATGTATAGTCATATTATATGAGAAAACTAATTAATTGCCTGCCGAATTCATGCTTGGATTCCTGACTGCCTGGCTGGCAAGATGCACGTGCGCTCGTGACGGTCAACGAGGGAGGCGAGAGAGACGGCGACTTGATACAGCAAATCTGGCTGTGACGGTCCCACCTGATGACGGAGACTTGTGTTGCCTCCGAAACGTCGTGATTTATTATTTTATTCAATTTCTATTATTACTTTTAGTAATTTTATTTTTTTTACATTAAATTTTTTTACCTACGTGACTTTACCAGAAAAAACCTAAGAGTATGAGAGGTGGGGGATAAGGGGTACGAGGGAGGGAGAGGCGAGTGGGAGAGGCGATCGAGACCGGGGGAAGTGGGGGAGACAAGGTGGAGGGAGGGGGAGAGGTGGGAGAGGGGACAGAGTAACAGAGACGAAGCGAGACGTCGGGAAAAATTGCGATTATGCACAGTACAGAGAAGGCAAGGCAAAGGCGGAGAGGCAGGGGCTGTTTATAACATTCGGGGCCGTCGATAAATGACGTCACGCACCTGGGGGGGGGGGGGTCAGACATTTGTGACTATGTGTGACGAGGGGGGGGGGGGGGAGAAATGTGACGTCACATCAAAAATTTAATATAGACAAAACGTTCTACTTTATTAAATAGACTTTTGAATCAATATTTTCTCCTACAACATCAGAGTGCAGCGCCACATTAAATACGCACCTACAATGACTATAGTTTAAAGCGATTTGAAGCATGTTTTATTTTCAAAATGGAAATATGGTTTTGGGGGGGGGGGGGCAGAGCTTTGTGACGTAATTTTTGAGGGGTGGGGGGGGTCTGACTTTTTTTATGGACGGCCCCTTATACAGTTTTGCTGGTTGGCCTGCTGGGAGGGATGGACGGTCGCGTCCAAAGAACGTGTGGGTTGCTCGTGTGCAACAACAGACTTGGTGGAAGTGGGAAACTGCAGTCTGGAGTGACCCCCCACGAGTCTCAAGACTCTCTCTGCAGGGGGCGGGGGGGTCCTGCTTGGGGATGTTTAGCCAGCGCTCTACGGCTCCACCTAGTGGACTCTCTTCCGACAGCAGTGGCGTGTCCGGCAATTACCGTGCGGTCATGTTTGTAAAGTCAAGGAATATGTATTCTTAGGTTTTTTTCGGTAAAGTCACGTAGGTAAAAAATTAATAAAAGTAAAATAAAACATTTTTTATTTTACTTTTATTAATTTTTTAAAATTAATATTTGTATTTTATTTCTATTAATTTTTTACCTACGTGACTTTACCGAAAAAAGTAAAATAAAAATATTTTTATTTTACTTTTATTAATTTTTTACCTACGTGACTTTACCGAAAAAACCTAAGAATATGAATCCTTGCAGTCACGAAAGCTTCAAATCTAGAATCAAGGAATATGGATTATTGCAGTCACGAAAGCTTCAAGTCAAGATTTACTAGTGCGGCAATTATTGTCAGGGCCGCCTCGCCACATTCAACCACTTTGTATTTCCACACTTGGGGGCCGCCCATAAATGACGTCACGCACCTGGGGGGGTGTGGGCGTCAGACATTTGTGACGATGTGTGACGAGGGAGGGGGGTTTGAGAAATGTGACGTCACAGCAAAATGCGCAACTTTAAATAAATATAGACAACACGTTCTACTTAATTAAATAAACTTTTAAAATACATGTTTTCTACTACAACATCAGAGTGCAGCGGCACATTAAATACGCACTACACTGACAATAGTTTAAAGCGATTTGAAGCGTGTTTTATTTTTTTGGGGGGTGGGAGGGGGGCAAAGCTTTGTGACGTCATATTTGAGAGGTGGATCTGACTTTTTGTGACGCCGTGTGACGAAGGGGGGGCGGGGGGGGTCAAAAATCGTCCAAAATCGCGTGACGTCATTTATGGACGGCCCCTTGGCCCCCCGTCACGAGAACGTGGAATTTCCACCACGCGCGTGCTTATTTCACCGGAGGCGGGCGGGGAGGGGAGGGGGGTGAGCGAGCGCCGCCCGACGCTACTTTTGCGAGCAAAGCAAAGTGAGAAGAAGACCCAAATGGCCGCGTGAATTCGTTCGCGTGGAATGTGCCTCGTTGCCACCCCCCCACACACACACCAACCTCCTCGTCAGCCGAAACGTCTCATGAATAATTCATCCCGGCGCCACATATTCAAGAGTCGCTTGTGCTGCTGCCACCTTCACGCGACGCCTCCTGCTTGCCCCCCTAAGGGCTGCGCTGTGGCCAAGAGAGGCTGCCTGGTGTGTGTGTGTGTGGAGGAGGAGCAAGGAGGTGGATAGAGAGAGGGAGAGAAAGTTGCGAAGAAGAGGAGGTGCTGGGAGCGGGCTGGCTTTTGGTGTAATTGTCCCGGGGTGGGGCGTGTGGGTTTGGCGGTGTTGTGGGGAACGAAGTTGAGTTTAAGTAGTGGGTGGGTGGTGGTGGTGGGTGTGGAAGGCTGCTGCTGTGCCTACAGTCACCCCGGCCAGCACAACACGTGCTCACCAATCGCAGGTATTATACAGGACGAGCATCCGCGCCTCTTGTGTGTTGTTACACGCGCGCGCGTTGTTTGCACGCGTGCGGTGTTGCTGCGTGTCGCGTTACACGTGCGGTTGGCTACGTGCGGTGCGAAAGAAGTTCAACGTATATGTTACACGCGTGTTGCACGCGCATTTGTGTGTGCGGTAGTGTAGCGGTTTAGCGCTACGCTGCGCTACGAACCCGGCGACCCGAGTTCGATTCCCGCTCATGGACAACACCGGCGACGATTATCTGAACCGGTCTTGCGCCTCACCTAGGTCGACTCAGACTCAAATGAGTACCCGGTGGGGTGTGTAGTAAACGTCGCCACTGGGGAGACAAAGGCGGCCGGGTGTGGTGCTGGCCACCTCGTGTGCCGTTCCGGCCTTCATAGGTGCTCGCTAACAGCACTTGCCCCGACAGTCTGTGAAGGCTGTACGGGGGATCTTTGTGTGTACGCGGTGTTTACACGGGGGGGGGGGGGGGGGGCGTGCCAATGGTGGCCGCGTGTGAACAACACGAGTTGCGCTTTCCAACTCGCCGAACACTCGCTCACTGCTTTTAGACTTCACGTATAGATTTACACATGTAAACAAAACACGAAAAAAAGTGCAATTCTCGTTTCTTCCTTAACGCCGAGACTTGGATTCATCGTTTCGTTCCTTTGTGTGTCCATCCGGGCAGAGTTGTTAAGAGTTGGCTGCGCGCTGTGGTCAAGCCCCCTGGGAGAGGAGTTGCCGTCTCACGCTTCGCACGCACAGCAGTGGCCGTGGAAGCTTGCGCAGTGGCGGGCGCAGTGGTTTAAATATCTTAAAAAAAACAACTTTAAAATCGTTTTGCGCCCCCCCCCCTCCAGTTTTGTTGCGTAGGGAGAGGGAGATGAAGAAGTGAGATGAGCCGGTAGCACGCTCCGTGTGCCCCGTGCCTCTTCTTGCCGTCACCGTGCGGGTGACTCCGTGCGAGGTGCAGCGACTCCGCTTGTGAGAAGAATCGCGGCTCTCCCCATCAGCCGTCACCTGCCCGTCCATCACCACCAGCCGTGGCTCTTGTTGGGCCAGCCGTGGCTCTCTGCGTCGCCAACGGCCGTGACTTTGAGCGTCAACGGCCGTGGTTGAAAGCCGTGAAAACGAATTCATCCGAGCGTCACCATCACAACCCTCCCCTCCCATCATCACCACCACCACCACCAACCCCTACCACCACCACCAACGACCCGTCATCCATCTGATCGCACGCCTGTCGACAACTCCACCGACTTGGCAGAGAGAGAGGGACCCCTTTCCTCTCCTCCAGCCGCCCTTGGCGCAAGGCGACCGCGATTTCATCCCGAGCGATGGCCACCGGCTACCGCAACCCGAACGCGTCGGATTTCCTGGAGGAGTGGAAGGCCCGGCGCGAGAAGCTTCGTTCCAGAATTCCGGGAGCTCCTCCAGCGCCGAGTCCCGCGGGTGGATTGTCCAGCAGCAGCAGCACCACCACCGCCGCCTTTGGTGGTGGAGGAGGAGGTGGTGGTGGTCTCCGCAACGGGGCACCTGGAGAGGCGACATCTCAGGCTGGCGGTGGCCTCGCCCCAGGCGTGTCGAGTCTCGCCGGGGCCTTCAACTCGCTCGCCGTGGCGCCCGTGGCCACGGCGAGGGCCACGGGGCCGGGGGCCACCGCTGGCAGGCGGCCCGTCGAGCCTCCTGCCGCGGACAGGAAGGCGGCGGTGGCGGTCCAGGAGAGGACGGGGGGCGGCGGTGGGGCCGACGCGGCAGGGGCCGTCACCAGCATCGGCACCACCGGCACCACCGGCACCACCACCAGCAGCAGCACCACCGGCACCATCACCACCGGCACCACCACCACCGGCACCACCACCACCACCATCTCGTCGTCGTCGTCGGCCGTCAAGGAGAAGAAGGCAGCAGCGGCAGCGGCGGCGGCCGGACCGAGCGCCAGGAAGAGCAAAGGGCAGATCGAGAAGCGCAAACTGCGCGAGAAGAGAAGGTCGACGGGGGTGGTCAACCTCACCGCAGAGGTGAGTCGCATCACACACTCCACCCACCACCTCCACCTCCTCCTTCACGCTGCTGCTGCTGGTGGTGGTTGTTGTTGTGGTTGTTGTTGTTGTGGTTGTTGTTGTCTGGTTGTCAACTGGTTGCGTGTTGCCCACGATGCGCCACGAGCACCGGCTACATCTGGGTTCGATGGCTGGAAGATGTTAACTACCTCGCCTGGTATACAGGAGGTCGTGGGTTAGTTCCCGACCCTGACGCCTGCTGTATATTTGGAGTTTGCGTGTCTCTCTTTCATTATCACGGTGGCTAGGAGATGTTAACTACCTCGCCTGGTATACAGGAGGTCGTGGGTTAGTTCCCGACCCTGACGCCTGCTGTATATTTGGAGTTTGCGTGTCTCTCTCTCATTATCACGGTGGCTAGGAGATGTTAACTACCTCGCCTGGTATACAGGAGGTCGTGGGTTAGTTCCCGACCCTGACGCCTGCTGTGTATTTGGAGTTTGCGTGTCTCTCTCTCTCCCCGTGGTCGAGTGGATTTTTTTACCGGGTCTGCCGGTTTTTCCCCTCCACATTTAGAAACAACGTGCGTTTAAGGGCAATTGGTGAATACAGTATACATTTCCACACGACGAAAAGCCAATTTTGTTGAGTTTTTATTCGTGATAGCCAGGTCGCTTCTGAGACTAAAAAAACAAGTTATATAGCTCAGTGGGCCTCACCTGGTAATAGTTTAATAGTTGTGGCATCATCAACATCATCAACACATGGTACGAATCTCATCAGCCAAATCAGGTTAGGCAGCCCTGCAGCAGCCAGGGCGCTGCTTGACTGCGAGTTCAAATCCTGGTGTTGTGCTCACGGGGGGGGGGATGGGTGGGGGGGTGGTGTAACATCATCACCACTTTTATTCCCGGCGGGGGAGGGGGGGCAAACCCTGAATTTGAGAGAAGGGATGGCCAAGTTCTTCCAGCCGTCTCCACCGACAACCTCCTCACAACCTCCTCACAACCTCTCTCACCCACCCCTCCTTTTGTTCTGCCTCATCCCCTCTCCGCGCGTGCGTGTTCAAACATGCCCTCTCGCACAGTGCGAGCACACACGCTTACCGACCCCCCCCCCCCACTGGAGTAAGAGTCCTGCTACTTGTCACAATCTCTTGAGCTAAAGTGTGCCCCCCTCCCCATCCTCTCTCTCTCTCCCTCTTGCTCAAATGGGCACGGGGAGTGGCCGCTCACCTATACAAAGCCCCCCCCCCCCCCCGCCCGCCTCCCTCCCGTGGCTCTGAGCCAATGCCGGGCAATTCCACCGTCCTATGCTCAAGGCGCCACGGTCTCTTAGGGGCCGTCCATAAATGACGTCACGCACCTAGGCGGGGGGGGGGGGGGGGTCAGACATTTGTGACGATGTGTGACGAGGGGGGGTGTTTGAGAAATGTGACGTCACATCAAAATGCGCAACTTTAAATATAGACAACACGCTCTACTTAATTAAATAGCCTTTTTAACAAATTTTTCTCCTACAACATCAGAGTGTAGCGGCACATTAAATACGCACTACAATGACAATAGTTTAAAGCGATTTGAAGCATGTTTTATTTGGGGGGGGAGGGGCAGAGCTTTGTGACGTCATATTTTAGGGGGGGTCTGACTTTTTGTGACGCCGTGTGACGAGGGGGGGGGGGGGTCAAAAATCATCCAAAATCGAGTGACGTCATCTATGGACGGCCCCATAGAAGTACAGTACAACAGTGTTTTTTGTTGTTTGATGCAACATGACCTCTTCCGGCCCACGGCTGTCGCTCGCGGTAGAACAGGACATCACCTTCAAAGCCACTCGAAACCCTTTTCTCTTGCCAGCCAGGTATATTTTGTTTACCGTGGGAAGATAGGGGAGGCACTGTGAGTCAGTACAGTAAAATAGTACAATGTTTTCCCCCGCCAAAGAAAAAAAATGTTTTGGCTACCGAATAAGACGTGCATGCATGGTCGTCACACATCCAAGGACGAAGCAGGCTCAACTCTGCTTAGCTTCCGAGATCTGATGAGATCAATTAGTGCCAGGTGATTGGTGCCTTATATGACACATATACAGACAAAGATCCCAAAATAGACCTTTGGGGCAATTACCATTCGCGAGCACCTATTAAGGCTGGGTGACCAGCACCGCGGCCTTTGTTTCCATAGTTTACACACCGCACCAGGTACTCATTTGAGGCTGAGTCGACCTAGGGGAGGCCCAGAACCGGTTAAGACAAATCGTCGCTGGTGTTGGCCGTGAGCAGGAGTCGAACTCGGATCGTCGGGTTCGTAGTGCAACGCACGAACCGTCACACTTCTGCATTGTACACTGAATGAATGTACATTGCTACACAAGGCACACATAACACACGTGTTACTTCACACACTGTGAAGTACGCATTACATCGCAGCACCGCATGCATCCACACGTAAACGTTGGTGTACATATCTCTTGCATTGCGACAACAGATACGTACATAGGGGCCGTCCATAAATGACGTCACGCACCTGGGGGGGGGGGGGTCAGACATTTGTGACGATGTGTGACGAGGGGGGGGGGGGTGAGAAATGTGACGTCACATCAAAATGCACAACTTTAAATAAATATAGACAACACGTTCTACTTAATTAAATAGACTTTTAAATAAATGTTTTCTCCTACAACATCAGAGCGCAGCGGCACATTAAATACGCACTACAATGACAATAGTTTAAAGCGATTTGAAACATGTTTATTTTTTTTTGGGGGGGGGGTCAGAGCTTTGTGACGTCATATTTGAGGGGGGGTTCTGACTTTTTGTGACGCCGTGTTACGACGACGACGACGACGGGGGGGGGGGTCAAAAATCGTCAAAAATCGCGTGACGTCATTTATGGACGGCCCCATACCGTATAAAATACCTGCAGTACGTACTTGAAGCGCTTGTGGTCCCGGCAGGCCGTACAGGTACCGCCTGAACGCATCTCTTGCGTGCTTCCCATGCCACCCGGCCTTCTCATCGTCGTTGGCACTCGACCTGAAACAGCGCCGTCATGTCTCGTGATCTATTGGCCGGGCCACGATGTGCGATTTCTTAGCCAGGGTGGGAGACCGCGGGTTCTCGAATGTTTGGTGCAGACTGGCCGGAGGGTGGGAGAGAGAGTGGTGGGCACAGTTGGGGCACAGCAGGTGGTGCATCTGCCGGTGGTCATCTCAGTCGGTCAACCCACGGCACCTGCTGGGTCTACCCCGTGACCTCCTCCTGCACCTAGCCTGGCACAGCAGTCAACCCAAGGCACCTGCTGGGTCTGTCCCGTGACCTCCTACTGCACCTAGCCTGGCACAGCAGTCAACCCATGGCACCTGCTGGGTCTGTCCCGTGACCTCCTCCTGCATCTAGCCTGGCACAGCAGTCAACCCATGGCACCTGCTGGGTCTGTCCCGTGACCTCCTCCTGCCAGCAGCGAGCCTTCGACACTTCACGTGGCCTCGGAGTGCACGTGGCCTGGCACAGGCGCTGGTGGTGACGTCACTGTCACGAAGTGGCATATGGCGGGGATTGGTATTGGATCAAAAACATTTTTGGACTGATAATTAAGGAGGGAAGGTTGCTGCACACAAATACATCGCCTTTGACGATGACGATCACGTTTAAGACAAGTAATAAACAAAATAAGAATAGGTTAAACACTTTCTGGCAATAAAGCAGGCGTTACGGCATCCAGTCTGCATTAGCCACACACACTCGTGTCAAAACATTCAAACAAGCGTGCTCTGATAAGTGCATACATTGTCTTTGAAGCTGATTGCCCTACGCCAGAGACAGCCCTCTGAACGGCCTTGCCTCACCAGTGTCAGAGCAGAGAACGCCAAGAGGCGAACACTTTAGAAGTAGATTGCCATGACCAGATCACCCGCCATGCGGCCCGGCATCGTCCCATCTCGGAAGCGCAGCAGGTTAGAGAGCGGATGGTGCTGTGTGTACGAGTGACACCTCATGCGCAACAGGTTGCTATAGGCTACCGTGAGGGGGGGGGGGGGCACGTGGTGGGCAGCAGATGGCAGTGCAGCCAATAGACATGCACTGGCCGTCTATGCTGCCCTGAACCCGCACCTACCAGTGTGGTGAAGTATAGTCAAATAACTCCGCGACGCGTATGGCATGGGGAGGCTCTCGTCATCCACGCACAGATCGCGATTTCTTTACGGGTGTTTTTGGAATCACCTTCCTTGTGTGTGAACTTACGGTGGAGATTTGTTTTGTTAGACTAGCTTGTTTGCAGTAAATCTGAAATATGCAATAGAAAAATTGTTCAGCTCATGATTATTAATGAGGGGGGGGGGGGGTTGCACTATGTAGAGTGACGTAACCCGCTAATTGTTATTGTGGAGGGGTGCGGCATGTGGAGTGACGTCACCCCCTCATGGTTATTGGGGAGGGGTGCAGCATGTGGAGTGACATCACCCCCTCATGGTTATTGGGAAGGGGTGCGGCATGTGGAGTGACGTCACCCGCTCATGATTATTAATGAGGGGAGGGGTGCGGCATGTGGAGTGACGTCACGCCCTCATGGTTATTGGGGAGGGGTGCGGCATGTGGAGTGCGCGACCTTGTGCGTGAGTGTAAATTTCCACGTGGCCATGAATATTAATAAAGGGGGGGGGGGGGGCTCTTTTGCAGTGACGTCATGCACGGATGTAGCACTGTGCTGCGTAGATTTAAAATTTTACCGTCACTCTCTGTAAAGAAACGTCATATTTGAAGCGACTTTGCTTAATAAGTGTAAAAATCCACTCATGAATATTAATGAGGGGGGGGGGCCCTCACGTGGAGTGACGTCACGCGCGGGACGGACAGACATTTCTGGGTGATTATAGTAAGTAATAATATGGAAATAAATGTGTGTTTAAATCCCCCTTACTTACTCGATCTGGTTTCCGCATATTTCTACTTTAAAATAAAAAACACATCTTTCGGCGGGGATGCAAATACGCCCAGTGCCACTGAAGCGATGCCATCC